AGAGGACTGCGCCAACCTGAGCGAGAATCCTACCTTGCCTTCTGGTTAAAAATTGACCTGCGACACTCTTCTTCTTGCTCTTTCATGCAAAATGATCGTCGCCTCAACAATCTTAGCCTGTGGTATTCATCCAATTAGGGTTACACTTTGCTTAGAAGTGGGTTGACCTCGTTGTCGCAACTTGGTCTTGTTGTCAGGGCGATTTAGTAGAACGCATCTAGTCCGTAGTCGTCTGCCATAGTAGTTGTCATCGCTCCCAGCATCAGACAGTGGACTTGGTACCTTCTCAAACGTTTCGCCGGCATCATTATTGAGTGCTGCCATTCTCCGCTTTAAGCTACAAACTCGTCAAAGGAACAAGTAAATTCAATTCCTCGACAAACGTTTGAGGATGTACCAACTCGACTGTCAGATACTGAGAATTATGACAATTACTATGGCAGACGGCTTTGGACTAGGTGCGTTCTATTAAGTCGCCCTGAAAACAAGACCAAGTTGCGACGACGAGGTCAACCCATTTATATAAATCGAAAGGGGACTATGACCATATCGAAGGCCACACCATTTTGGTCTTCATATCTTCGATTGCACTTAGCTCAGTTGCTTCGTAGCTTTCGGCGAGGACTGTTCACTCGTCAGGCTGACCAATCAAATCTTGCCATTGTACTGGGCCCAGACTTGGACCTATCAAATCAGGGCCTCTCTAACCAATCATAAGTCGAGATTCAAATCTCTCCATTATTGATCCGGCAAGACGGCGCCATGTTGACACAATGTGAGGCTCCGACTCCCAATCGGTCGTCACATGCGTTTTTCGTCCACCAAACGGCGGGTGTTTGGAGGCCTCATTTTACCGCAAATCAGTCCACTTGTTGCACTCCAGTCTCTTCTTCCGGCAGGACAAGATGTCGTCCCGTCTCAATGCCCTGCGGCAGGCTTAGAAGTCAGAGAGAAGGTAAAAGGGTGAACTGTGATCGGCCCACCTGGCACAATGTCACCGAAGCCGATGGTGGACAAGGTGACGAAGCAGAAGTACGACCATTTGAGGTAGTCCTTGTCTTCCCAGATGGAGAAGACGATGGCGCCGATGAGAATGTACGTTGTCATTATGGCTAGCGACAGACTGATGGGGACCGTGACGGCTGAGATGTCGGAGATGAGGCTGGCCGTGAACTGGTCGTTGAAGCTGAAAAAGGAGAGCTCTTCGTCCACTTGCGACCGGCTGCTCTGGTGTGAGTAGTAGCTGAGGCGGACGAAGACGTCACTGTTCACGTCGCCCAGCGACGAGGCGATGGAGAGACGCGATCGGCCCAGCAATTGGGGCAGCGCAGTCGACGGCCAGCCGCCCAACGGCATCGAGTAGCCTGGCGTGTGTAGGCTGGATCCTTTGGCCTCTCGACCATGGCAACTGGTCGTCGCGAAGCCGGCCTGGCTGCTGGCGAGAGAGCTGGAGATGGCCTCGTGTCCGGCCAACAGGGCCCGGTTCACCACCACCTCATCCGCGGCCGGCGCCTGCCCCGCTGCGAGTCCCGTCGGCTCGACGTCGTGCAGTCGGTTGGTGTAGATCAGACAGTCCTCGGGCAGACTGACCTGTTCGTAGCTCTCGTTGGCCAGACGGTGAGTTGTCATGGTGGCATGATTGCGTGCGAAGACGAGGTTCGAGCGCGTCATGCTGGGCGTCTGGTCGGCGTCGACATTGGCGTGAGCTGCCAGTTCCGGCTGGTTGGCGGGCTCGCTGACGAAGATGAGAGAAGGCGATGCGTCGTCGTCGAGGCGAGGCGCGTCTCGACTGGAGCAGCTGCTCTCGAGCGAGCGCAGCTCCAGCTCCTGGTCTATGTCCTTCCAGCAGATGAGCGGCACGTCGGTCTCGTCGCTGGAGCTGGAGCCGAGGTCGCCGGCTGTGAGTGTGTCGAGCGGCGAGGCGGCCGCGCACGGCCGCCAGGCGGGACTCGAGCCCGGACCCGTCGGGAGGCTGAGTGTGCGGCCGGAGGAAGAGACGAGCCCGGCGGGGCGCGAGAAGAGGCGGGCGTACTGCTCGGCGAGTAGAACTCGTGGCTCCTTAAGCGGTTGCTTGCGCCGGTACTGCTGGCGGACCTGCTGTCGCCGGGCGACTTGAGCGATGAGCCGAGCCACACGACGCCGGTGGCGCGCCTGCCGTTGCCGTGAGCGCATCAGACGCGCGTTGATGTAGAACTTGCGTCTGGTGCCTTCGTAGCTGACCATGTGCATCTGCAGCTGCCCCGGCAACGGACTGCCGGCTTCGTCGCTGAGGCCGAGACCGCGTCCGTGGCCGTGGCCATGGTGACGAGGTGACAACGGCGATTCGAAGGCCACCGTCTCGTCGACTTCGTACGACCTAAGCGTCGCCGTCGCCGTCGCGAGGGCCGGAGTTGTCGTTGTTGTCGAAGTCGGGCTCAAGGCGATGTTGTGCGCCCAGGCGAGCTGTCCGACTGTGTGGTTGTTGCTCGGGTCTGCAGGTGGGTGTGCCATGTCGAGCGGAAGGGTGGTGCTCCTGGAGCGGATCCAGCCGGCCCGAGTGCCTTCCCGGACGAGGTCGGGCGAGCCGGGAGGCGGCAACGTGATCGCACCCAACTCGTTGTCCAGCTCGGCCAGCGCTTCGGGGTTGACAATGACGCTGAGCCGGTCAGCAACGAAGCAGCCCTGCTCGGTGCACCCCGCGACGCACATGTTGGGCGTCGTCTCGTCCGACGGCCGGTATCGTAGCGCCTCTTCCGACCGGCGCCCGGCGGCCGCTCTCTTCGCCTCGTCTGCCTTCTCGGCCCGCCTCGAGAGCCGGCAGATCGAGCTGAAGACCGGCGCAATCAGCCGACGCAGGTTGAAAGCAGCGCCCTGCGGGGAAGTGGGATTTTCCGGTTTGCTTTACTTTCAATCCCAACTCCCACTTTTCCCTCCTCTCCAGCCGTACACATACACCAACCGACAGACATACACACACACACACACCTTTTGAACAACTGCCTAACAAGGCAAGAATTTAGATCCAAACTGGAGTCGTCTAAACGCCTCTGGTGTGAGGTGTCAAGCTAATTTACACCCACCGACGTTATCAACGCAAAGTAAGACCGCTTATCCGCTCTCACAAAGAGTCGCCCATCGTACTGGTCTGGTCTGATGCCCCTTGGGACGCTAATGGGACGTCACGGCAGGCTCGGGCCTGCAGTTCAACCTCTGGGAAAATTAGGCCACGCGAACTCCAAGTGGTGACTTGTGGTGTAATCATTTGACTGTGGGAAACTTAAACTAGATGCTGGGTATTCACTCTACTTTGTCTAGAATGACAAAGGGGCCGGTAGTTGAATTTTCCCACAATCAAATGAGCCCAGCTCAACAAAAGGTATGCCTATTCTGACAGAGGTGGACAGCACTTTCGACATCATATTTTTTATTTATTAATATTCTCGAAAAACTACTTACAAACAAACAAATGTGGTCGATTGCAGTGATAGATAAACTTTTGCCTGATCGGCACTTCCATCACATAATGCGATATTACATAATGTCTGGCCTTCCTTGAAATTCACATCTACTCTCTGACTCAAAAGAATTCTTGCCAATGTGTGTCACAGTAGTAAATGTGCCTGGAGTGTTCGAGTCTGGGTGAGAGCTTTGATGTTGACCAGTTGAGGCGAGGTCGAATCTGTACATCACTCCAGCATGGACGAGAACGCCTTCTGAGCAAACAAGACTATGCAAAATTGAATGCAAATGTAAAGCTTATTCGAAGGATTGTGCGAAAATGCAACCACCAGTCCCTTTACCGCTTCAGCAAAAATGGGTGAATGCACCTAATATACGGTCTACTGGTAGCCTCGAAAACCTACCTATAAATACCCGGCCATTAGCTTTTACCCAGGATCTACTGTTGTCTCGAAACCGACGGCCAATTAATATAAACTTTTGCCTTAAAATTAAAATCACCTCCGCTACTTTAATTAATAAACGCTGCAGTCGTCTGAATGCAGTTCTATGCCATCACAGGGTCTATTCGTGGCAAGGTGAGAAAATGAATGCATCAGCTCTTAAAATTAGACATACGGAAGTAGCCGAGCCTACTATTCATTATGAAGGTAGTAATCACTTAAGGGAATTTGACGGCTAATGGTGGAGAATGTCCACCGCAATATGAGCAGCTTAACAGGTCCCAAAGGAACTGATACCTTCAGGACAAACTTGGCTCTTCTCATGTGATGTGTCACATTATTGAGGGATTGTCGAAGAGGCAATGCACGACCTTGCTTAGTCTTTATCGAAATTGATTTCGGAACGATAAAAAATTCTCGAATGATAACTTTGTCACCCTAGGCTGCTTAATATTATTCATATAAAAGGCTTTACAATGCCGTTGAACTCCACTTAGTCCTCCCCACAAACTGTTCTATTCTTCGGGCTTGATGCAAGAATCGGGTATCATTAGCCCCTTCAATGGAAGTCGAAATGATTAGTTCTGCCTTGCGACCAACTGGTACCGGTGGTAGTGGTTTTGTGTCGCTTTGATAAGCATAACCAGTTCCCAAATCCCTTTGTGGATGCTGAGGAGACTGAAGCGTAGTCGAGACTGCAGTCTAGGCAGCATAAGTAAAACCGCTGGGAAGCAAGATAGGTGAAATTTCTCGACATTGTGAGATTCATTCATATCATTCGGAAAAAAATCTCCACTATCCTTCCTTCACTTACCTTAAACAACCTAGACTCCCTAGGTTCTCATTACTGATCCTTTCAAAACATACTTACATAAACAATTCTTCATTGGTACATGCGGCGTAGTCGAGTGCAAATTATTTCTTTCGACAAATCCTTCCGTAAATAGACTTCATCTTTACCTTAATATGACACATTGCTGGGCTCATTTTCTGCAAAATTTAAGGCACCAGTATTATTTGACCGCGGTGTTTTACAGTTTTAAATGAGGAAAACAGGGAACATGACGAGTAGTGAATAGAACTGTTTGATTCCATCTCAAGGGCGACTACTAGAAAAGTCTCATCAGACCAAGCCCCTTGAAGTCCTCTAGGATGCCTCCAAGAAAGTGAAAATGATGGTTTT